GGCCTTCCTGTCTCTTCGAGCAAAGATCGTCGAAGGGGCGTGGGTGAGAGTCGCGCGCGAAGCCGTTAGGGCAGATGGTCAGGTGGTCCCGCAACAGCGGCTCTTCACCACTGCGCCAGACGACATATGCCGTGTTGACTTGGTGATTTACGGCGCAGCGCCCATGGGAGGAGCCGTGTTTTGTCGCCGCTGACCCGAACGGGCCAGCGGCAACCCGGCACCGCGGCGCACGACGGCGCCATGCTGCGGGTGGCCGAGCAGCACAAGCGAGCCCCGTCAGAGACTTGGTGAGCGTTCGAGCGCAACAGGCCCCGCCGGCACTGCGAGCGGCAGCCACTTCCGCCTGGACGCGAAGGTGGTGGGCGGCTCTGGCCGTAGAGGTGCAGCAAACCGTGAACAGCACGGCCCTGGCAAGCCCGTGGCCCGCGCCCCCACACGCGCTTCTGGGCCCGGAACAACCGTGTGCTCGACCTCGCCGAAGCAGCGGCGCCGAGCCGATTGCCACGGCGCTAGCCGCAGTCCACGGGAACCGTAGGTTTGACTAGGCTAGGGTCGCTCGACCCCGCTGGACCCTCGTCATGCAGACGGAAAAATTCGGGAAGTAAAGAAGATGTACTGCTTTACTCCACTAGCGCACATTATCATATAGTACCCAATCACATTCACTTGCTCCATGAATTTGCAGTATTGCCTCATGCTATTTTGGCTCACATTTTTTTGGATGGCAGGTAACGAGCTCACGTTACGTTGCAACTTGCTTGCTGTAACCGGGTGGCACATGACCTCGCCTCTCGTCCAATTGCTCGTGTGGAGCCCCGTAATTTACGAAGTCGAGGCGGCGACAGTCCTCAGCGTGGACTTGCGGCGCAGTAGTGCGCGCAAACCATTGCTGCGGGACCACCCGGCCTTCCAGGCCAACAAGCTCCGGGAGCGACCCGAACCCGCGCCGTGGCCAAGCCCGTGCGGGGGCACGAGAAGTGGTGGTCCTTATCTGCATCGACCTGCGCCGCTCGGGCTTCGCGAGCAGTCGGATGCAAGGCTGGAAGCAACTCGCGCTCTAGGAAAAAAGTGTGGAGTGCAAGAACTGCATGTCGCTGCCAGCTTGGTCCTCCAAAGCCGAGCGCACCGTCAGTCGCTAGGACTGCCGCGGCTTGAACTCATGCGACCTAGACCCGTTTTTTAGTTTCATATGCTTGCCACAAAGACGAATGAACGCCGGAAAAAGACACTAAACGGCGGACCCGTTCCACATCGTCCGCGAGGCTTTTTCAGGCATGCGAACAGCCCAGTACACCTCGGTGAGAAACGGGCCTCGCGAATTAGGCATTCAACTTCGGAGGGCTTGTTGTTGTCGGCAGTCGGACTGTTGGTAACGCACGCCAACATGGATCACGGTGCGCTGCAGGCGTCCACCAAGCACTGCTGGAGCCCCCCTTCCCTGGGCAGCAGGAGAGACCCTGGCCGGTGGCCCCCCCGCATCAGCCCAACAGGCAGAGGCACGCACAAACACACACTCGTAGATGTTGTGCCGCTTTTTGACGTCAGCTAGAACAGCGAGTCTTGGTCTCTATGAAAAATCTGCCCAAAAGGCCCAGGCGGCTTCCGGTACGAGGGCCTGCATGTTACCTCCAGCGCCGGGAGCTGGGCGCCAGGCTGGCTCCAGCAATGCACAGTACTCCGAGCAGCATGGCAGCAAGCGTAATTTGCAAAGCCACGCTCAACAAGCCCCACCAGCGGCGCAGCCAACCCTGCTTGGCGGCATCTCGCAGGGCAGCAGGAGCGCGCTGGGCTCGGAGTCTTACCAGTTGATCGATGAGGCAGAAGGATTCGTCGCTCTTGCGCCCACGGGCGTGCAATGCGCACCCATGCCTGCTCGAGCAGCTTCGCTCGTTGGGCGAGCAGTGATGTCCGGGCGCATGCGGCGTGATAGTCACCGTAAGCGTCAAGGTAGGCACCGCATCTGTGCACGGCTATGCGCATGCGGTCGGGCGGCAAAGCGGAGCCAGCCTCGGTTGCGACGGCGCTGAGCCATCGCAGCATGCGGCCCGGACTGTGAATGCAGCATGGCATGCGCAAGGGGCGGTCGGGCAGGCAACAACTAGGTCTCGCGAAGGTGCGTAGGGCAGGCGCGGGAACGGGGGTGCTGCGAGCCCTGGCACTTTTCGCTATGTGTCGGCAGTTTGCATTGCGCAGCAGTGGCCGGACCTGCAGAAGGCACTGGGCGGCAAGCGCCCAGAACTCGCAGTGCGTCAGCCCAGGCGGCCCAGTACGCCGCAGGGGCGCTCCGCTGGGCACACAAAAATCCAAGTCCTCGCAGGCGCGCCAGCTGCAACTCAAGCTGGCGTGCTGCGGCGACCTCGGGGTCCGTGTCGTCTTCTTCGCCCAGCAACCTTTACCGTTTCTGCATACGCTCGCGGCTTGCCGACAGTTTGTCCGCTTCAGACGGAGCGTGGCATTCCAGCACTTGCCAATTTGGTCGTTCCATTGATGCTAGTCCATGTTGTGACAGGTGATGGCCGCGTTCACATTTTCACGACCTGTTTCCGGGCACTGCGCTTCTTGTGTGATCGAGCGCAACGGGGCCGCCTGTTGTTCGCGCCGCGGGTACGGGACCCCGCCGAAAGCACCTGGGCGAGTCGTTCGCCACTCCGGCCGTAGCAGCCCGGAAGCCTTAGGACCTACGAAGCCAGTGTGGGAACCACGGACGCCAGAGGCACCAGGAAAAAGGTGCGTGGAAAAAAGGCAACTCACAATGGTTCAATTGCTTGTTCTGTGTCTTTCTCCTATCGGCATGTGGCCTGCACATGTCCGCAAACAGCGTGTCCGTTCCAGACAGAGCATGGCACTCCAGCATTTGCACAGCACACCGTGGAGGGAAACCATTTTGAACAAGGCCCGGCAATCGGTATGGTCAGACTTTATAATAATGGGCTTGACGTTGTATTTTTGCATGCGCACACTGTGTTACGATGTGTTACACTGCTTGACATGGCTATTGCACGTCAAGATAGCATGATTCTGGCTACAGAAGCTAAAAAAATCAAGTGTTACACTCCCAACGTCCTGAAACCTGACCCTTTGCTTTGACAAACCGTAGGCCCCATTCCAGCGTAGTCCCCAGTGTGTCGATTCCACGAAAACACAATGATGTCACGTATGTGTGTTTCGCGCGTGTACATGGGGAATGGCTAGTTTTCATATGGTGTGATGCCACTTGTGTGTGAAGTTGGTGCTTGCGAAATCCAGCATCTACATGAGACAACTTGGAATCGACGGTTTCGATGTGTTGTGATGCCGCTGATGTGTGTCTCGAACTGGTGTTTGTGAATTTCGGAGCAAAACCCATGGCCTTGTTAAGTATTGGTCCAGTTCATCAGCTCATCCAAACCACTCTCGGTCACATTGTTTGGCGCTGTGTACACACAGGCAGGCGCACTTGATGCCAATGATGCGTGTCTTGGGCAGGAGCTCCGGAACTCGAGCGTTTAGTTGGGGAGTGTTTGGTCCGGAAGTGCTGTGATTCTACTGCTGTTTGTGTGGAGCAGGTACCTCTGAAAGCAAGCGTCTACATGGGGAACGGCTGGTTTTCCTCCTAGTCTTCGTGCGCTATGATGCCAATGATGTGTGTCTTCAGCGGGCGCTTGTTTCATGTTTGAAACCGCCTGCGCGTGGTTGGTAATTGCCAAACTTGCAAACTTGTCAGGGCTCCGGGAAGTGCTTAATTTCGTAGAAAAGCTTGCGCGCGGCACTCGAAATCCTACGTTGACGTGTTGTACTGGGAATGTGCCAGGAAGCGCCTTGCCACGGGCAAGGGATTTGCAGCAATGCTTGTGGTGTGACTTCGAAGGCCTTGGTGTAACTTCACGCGTTCCCTCGTGACCCTGCGCTGTCACGACTTCCCGTGCCTTGGGGCGACATATAGCTACCCCTTGTAGGAAACATAGGTGCTACGGTTGCGACACGTGCTTTAAGAAAACATCATCCTTTGCAAGACATGTTTTTTTCAAATGATGTTAAAAAACATCGCTTTGAGGAGTGGGACTGAGTGCGACATCCTTTGATGGCATCAGTTAAATTACTCTTCGTAGCTTCATGCAACCACCTTATCTGATCACGAAAATCATCATACCGATGTTTTGCGGGTTTTTGTTGTGTCACAAGTGTCTATTATGTGCCGCTAGACGCCTACGACTGGACATGTTAGCGATCTGCACCACATATTATCATGCACTTTTACGTTCACATTGACATGCATCAGTAGTCTTGCAATTTGTAGCAGTCATATTCACCAAGCCGCAAACACATAGTTCCGCAGAGACAGCAAAAAGGTGTGTGAAAAAAACACATTGTTTGGAGTTCTGTGACGTTTTGTCGAGTATTGTCTAATCGCCCACCTATGCCATCGGCCAGTATTCGGAGTTGGAGATGGTTCGGCATGTTCAAATTGCCGGCACAATCCAATGCGCACAATGCGTTTGGAAACCGTATCCAAACTCTTCGCGGGGAACTTGGAGCATGTTTTCAGTTTGCTTCTCCGGAGTCTGGCGGGCAATGGTCCGCCAGTGCTGTGCACGCTTGCTGCCCTCATTCATCCATTACCGCATCCACCTCGGTTACATCTTGAAACTGTTTGCCCGTTCCATGCCGGGTAGTGCGTCGGAGTCTGGAGGCATATTTGTTCAAAAACAATATTTCGTTCGGCAGCGGACATGTGCTCGAACTCATGCGAAGGCATGCCAAGCCCATCGTTGGAAAACAAACGGGCTCGTTAGACTATGCGTTGATGTATGTCAAGCACGCAGTGTATTAGAACACTGCATGGGACATAGCGAAAATATAGAAGGAACGAGACAAATTACGACTGAAGGCGATGTATTAACCCCTTGGCCTCCTTATGTAAACATCCTTGTCTGATGACCAAATGGAGACGTACTGCAACCCAGGCATGCAGACGATTGCTTGGAGCAGAATCCTTTGGCTCGAGTTCGTGCCTAGGATTAATGGGTAATGCCCCTCCTGTAGAAGTCCGGTCAAGGGCCTAGTCTCTAGCTGCTTCAGTGTCGAATCGTGGGTGGCCTTTTGGAAGGCGAATTTATGCGGAACTTGTTGTGCGCCTGTGAGGCCTCGTAGAGCTGATAGTGGTTTGGTGTCGCTTGCGCCTCAGCGCCTCGTACCCAAGTGCAGTTAACCCTTCAATGTTCCACCCATTTACTCCAAAGCGAAACTCGAGGGCGTGCTGCCTCGCGCGGAAGGGAAACTTTCGTCACGGCCCCCCGGTGCGGCGATCTTAGCTTCCATGAACCAGCTGAGGTTTGTGTCGCATTGCCACTGCTTCTTATCGGAATCCTGGCGGATAGTTTCGCACAATTTCCCGCCATAGTCGTAAATCGTAGACTGTTGTATTCATGTAGGTTGGTTTTGCAACGCCACCACGTGCCAAAACATGTTGTGTAGGGTTTGTAAAAGCGTCCCGCATTGACATCCGTAGCTGACACACGACGGGAGAGCAAGAAGTATTGTACAGCCGGATTCCTGTGATTTCTTGCGGGCCAGAAAGTGCCCCAACTGATCACAGGCCCGTCGACATTGCCCAAGACTGGAAAAGCAAGAGCCTCAGCTGCTTCTGCCAGGCTTACTGAGCTATGCGATCGAGTTGCTGTCCCAAGGTCTGGCGCGCGAGGAAAGATATGGCAAGAAGGTCGAGTGCAAAGCCTGCAGAAGAGTATGAAAACAGTCAGCGATGCAGGTGACGTGGTGCCCCGGGAGGCAACCAGCATCAAACCGGAGTTGATTGCTTCATATGTCCGTTACATTCGAACCACTGGCTGCTGTGGGTTAAGTTTGCATTGTGAGTAGCAGCCAGGATGTTGGAGACGAGATACGAGCTCATCGAAAGTGGTGATGAATGGACAGAGGCCTGGCAGTTCTGAGCTGTTGCCGCATGTCCGTGATGAGTTTGGCCGCCTTTCCCCTGTACAAACGAGGCGAGAAAATCCCAAGACGTGGATTTGTCAGCAGCGGGCCTTCGTTGTTGGTACTCATGTCAGCAACTGCTTTTGTGCAGCATGCGCGGATGCAGTGAGTCGAACGATGTGTGGCGCTCCCGCCGGTCAAAATTCCAGCACACACAGCTGCTGCTTCAGATGGTCGTTGGGACTTAAAGGGGGGATTCGGAGCGTCTGTGCAGCTTTGAGCCATGGCCGAGGCGGTGGCCCTGGATACTTTTGAGCGTGCACCACCAGCCCGGCCTGGAGGGCAGTCGGCCTTTGCGTATCCCCCGGGTCGTACGGAAGATGAGGAAGAACGCCGGAGGCGTGAAAAAGAGCTGGCGGGCGACGAGGAGCTGGCACGCAACCTGGCGGCCCAGTTGCGCTTGACCTCCCCGGTTGAAACAATGCCAGATCGAGCTTCGGATCCTTTCGGGGATGATGACAGGCGACTGCCACGCGTGGGAGACAGAAACCCAGCCGCATACAGAGGCGAGGCAGACGCAGATCAGGCTCCAGGGGTGGAGTACCATGCCATGGATTCGGACACTGAAGACGCCTTCTATGCCGAACCGCCCAAGGCCGCCGGATATCATCAAGTTCTTTGCAACGTCCTCGTCAGCTTTTTCCGGAACGGAGCTCTGAACTCACGGGCCTAGAGATTCACCGGAGGAGGCCAATCGCTCGATAGTGAGGGAGAATGGCAAACCTAGGTTCCTGAGTCCTGAATAGTACCCTTTTGCCCTTTTTATTGTATGGTTCCCCTATGAAAACTGAATAACAGGAGAAAGGGTACCCTTATCATTAAAGGGTCACTCAGGAACCTAGATACTCTCAGCGACTTGTAATGCTTTGGCGTAGAATTTTCACGCGCGCTTGCAGCGCGTACTTCCGAGATGCCGCTGGAGCTTCGAGGGCCCAGCTCAGCCAATTCACCCAAACATAAGCCGGGTCCGCCTACCTTAAGGACGAAATGAACCCCAAAAGGTTTTCGGGTTCATACACCATTTTGGGATTCATAGTATAAGGGTATAGGGCCCCTACTTTTTAAGGGTCATTTCGTCCTTAAGGTAGTGGAGTCCGATGGCTTTGGAGGTCACGGCCTCGCTCCCGCGTACAGATCGGGTGTACTTAAGTTTGTTTCAGCCACGGATTTACAAAGAGAGACAACTGCTCCATCTTGCCATCGCCGTAGGGGTGAGTAAGATTGAACACGTGGCAACGCAATGCGCTAGAACCAAGGCCTTGCCGGAAGTGGGCGCCGCACCTGACTCGGAGGGTCCAGTGACAACAGAGGAACGGGTTCGTGTTCTATAGACGGCTGCTGCTCAAAAGCCGTCGCATTTTCCATGCCCGGGCAATGTCGTTTTTTTCAAGCATCTCGCTTGATAGGTTGCTGTTACCGATTGCCTTTAGGGGAATATGCGAACCTTCCTGGCAAGATCTAAGGTGCGGAACATGTCCTTCAGTGGAGGCCTCAGTTGCCTCATGTTCAAGGCTTGCTTCTGTCCTCCGACTTGACAAGCAGCATTTGCACGAGACCGCGTGTGCACGTTTTTTTCTGTACTTCCGCGTGAGCAGTTCCGAAACCACAGATAGTGCAAGCCGCGGGGATGCAAGGCACAACCCTGCTCCTAGTGCAGGATATCTTCGTGCTAGAGAGATGTTTGTGCTAGACTGCTTGACTCTCGCACACAAACGCCAGACCATGCAAGACCTTTCCTAAAGGGCATCCGAAACAGACACAATGCTACTCTCTCACATGTTTGAGGCCCCGCCCCGGCGACTGCACGCCAACGCGTGGCAGAGCGCCGAAAAGGACGTAACAGAGGCGCAGAGTTCTCCCAGCTTTGCGAATTTCTCGCCCATGTTGATATTATGTTTGGGCCTCTTGCGAGTTTAGGTCACGGAGTAGCAGGTTCCACCGTTGTGCATGCCGCGGGCGGGGTCGAAGGTGAAGCAGAGAAGTCCGAATCTTCCACGGCCCCGTCCAATCTCGAGGCTCACAGCGCTGTCTTTGGGAGGGGAGTTGGGGTTTGGGGCCTTGCTGACGCGAGGAAGCCTAAAAGGCACCGAGTCATCCGAGTCTGGCATTACTTAAAGAGTACTGTAGAAGCCTAAACAGCTACCAATAGTATTCCTTAGGGTTATTGCGGTCTTAGACTCTGCAAGCCCGTGACCCTTCATGGGATTCCTTATTTGGGCTTGAGCTCAGTGGGAAAATGGAGGGTCAGAATGAAAATTTTTGGAGCTCGAAGCGTCGCAAGACCCCAAATTAAGGCCCTGCTACAACAGGAAGCCCCTGTGTAGAACCCCTTTGAAGCCCTATAGCACGCCCTCCTTTGCCCAATGGAAGATGAAGAGTCTTTTGCCGAGGTTACAAAGCTTGAGCACGAGATGGGCGAGCCTTCCGAAGCCCCGAAAGCCGAAGACTTCAGCCGCGAGCTGAGACTGAGACTGGGTTCTTGTTAGGGGATGTAATTCGTAGTATTTACTATAGATGCCCATTATGGTAACTTAAGAATAAAGTCCCTTTAACTAAGGGATATACCTTAAAGTTTTATATTAAGGCCCCAATAATTTAAGGTAATATTCCTTTGTTTAAAGGGGCCCCTTAGGCTCCCTCGGGATTTCTGCGGCGTTTTAGTGCCATGGTGGTCTCGGGAAGGTTGGAATCCTTGGTCCGGGGGTCCTTGGGTTCAGGATCGCAGTATTTGGGGTGGTATCCCTCAACACGGGCCCCTTCAAGGAACTCATAGTCTTTACTTTTGGGGCTTCGGGTTTAGGGTTTATGTAGGGTTTAGGGGTTTATGTAGGGTTCAGGGTTTAGGGGTTTTGAACATTCTTACGTGTTGATCCTGCCAAGACACCTCAGAGTCCTGAATGGAACCTCCGTTCGCGCTGGTGTCCTCCACGACTTGGGTAGTTCTCTAAATTAGGGTCCCTTTTGGGGGTCCCCGATACAGTACGGCACCCTTATAAAACGGACCCTCGATGGGACCCTAGCTTAGAGAACTACCCACTTGGAGGATCAGGGGACAGTACACACTGCTGGTGGTAATGCAGATGTCATCTATCGGCAGTATTTAAAAGGGTTGCTGGCAGGCTTCCTGTTGTGGGTGTAGGATTTCGGGTAGCAGAGGATCCGTGATCAAAGGACCGAGTACATGAATAGGCTTGTTGAAGGGCTCTTTATACGGACTTTGGACATTCAAATAGGTTAGTTTGAATGTTATTGTAGGTTATGTAGGCTTTTCAAAGGGGTCAGAACAGGAACTTAAACTTTAACTGAAGACTCTTATAATCTACTGCCTGCAAATCTTCAAATACTTAGACACAGCTTTACAATGTCATTATGGGCTTATGCGGTTTGTTGTAGGAGTGACTTCTCCCTAGCAAAACCCAGCTGCGTAAGGGTGTGCGAGACTGCCTCCCCTCAAAGCCGCCCTTGGGCGAAGGCTGCCAGCTTAGAACGCAACATAGGGACCCATATCTCACTAACCCTAAGCCCTAAACCCGCCCGGCTTGTCCCAGCTGTGAGTGAACCCACTACCTGAGCCCTAACCCTAAACCCAAAGCCCCACCACACTTGCATTCAGCCTTTGCTCCTCTGTGAGGCCAAGCAGCTCCTGAGTGACAGGGAAGCTTTAGGCTAGAAGCAGAGGTTTGCGCCGTAGGATTTCTGAGTCTTGGGACGTAGAGCCTGAAAGCATAGGCTTAGTACTGGAGGCGTAGGTGGCTGGGAAGCTTTCAGATGATGAAGACGACTTCTTGGCCCAATGCTTCGGGTTTAGCTCTGGAGACTTCGGGTTCCGTATTGACTACGCAAAAACGGCCGCCTCGTCATCACAGCTGCGAAGTCTAGCTAGCAGTTGCCATTGCCGTCAGGATGACTGAACAAACAATGCGCATTTCTTGGTGGGCTAGTGGCAACCTGACGGTCGTAGTTCTTAGCATGCGGCCGCGTTTTAAGCTTGCCGAGTTGCTGTTCATGCGCGCTCGATGTGGCTTTACGTCTGCCGCGGCAAAGACGGATTCGCTCAGCACCTTTCCTTCCGACTCTAGGCTCCAAATCACGGCTCACTTCGTAGCTACCGGCGGCATACTTGGTGCACTTGCCACCAAACTATTGCTTGAGAGTTACTCTGTTTGGCGGGCTGGGTGATGCTCCAGCAGATGCCGCTGTAAACATGATCCGTGCGAAAGAGGTTCATGTCTAATTTCGCTTGTAGAAGTAGCAGCAGCAGCAGCAGCAGGAGGAAGAAGTATCAGTTGTAGTTGTTGTTGTCGTCGTCGTAGTCCACTCGAGACGACCCGATACTGAACATGTTTCTCATAGGCAGGGGAGAAAACGAGGAGTAATTCATGCAGTTCCCTCCTACAGTCCCTGATTGTGACATACCGCAAAGCACCTGCGAGTGTGCATATGCGCATGTATGTATGTATGCATGCATGCATGCATGCATGTATGTATGTATGTATGTATGTATGCATGGATGGATGGATGTATGTATGCATGTGTACGTGCATGTATATGTATACCTATATCTATGTCTATATTTGTATCTGCATCTGTATCCGTATCTGTATCTGTCTCTGTATGTATGTATATATATATATATGTACACACATATGTGTGTTTGTACGTATAGCATAAAACCTAAAGCTGCGATATTGGTCTAGTTTCATCTGTCAAATCAAGAAGCCTTCAACCCAAAAAACTGCCTCAAACCCTAAACGAGAAGGGAAAAAAATTGATCTGATGTGTAGGTGGCCGGCGGCCAACCACGGCCATCGCCCGGGTTCCTGGAGTCTGGTGCAGTGTCAGGGCTCGCCTTTCAGGTAAACCTAAATGGGACCCCAAACATTGAAACCTTAGACTCAAACTTGAGGGGTTCAGAGATTTGCATCAGGATGTCCCAAGCCTCAAAGCCAGAATCAGCAGAGAGGTTGTAGCACAGCCTTGGAAGACATGGACCGGCACGATGTCTGTCCTATATTATAGAAACTACATCCACTGCCTAGACTGGTAAACCCTGGACCCTAAGCCCTAAACCCAAGCCCGTGCCCCATACCGAGGAGGTCACAACCTCTTAATCAGCCTGGAGACTGCCAGGACACAACCATGCTGACAGGATGATACAGCATACAACGCAAAGCCCCCGACCAAAACTCGAAACCCTTCTGGTTCGCGAGAAGGCCCGACATTTCCAGGCAGCCCAGTTTGTTCTTGCATGTCTGTCGTGCGGGTTCGAGTCCTTGCTGGGATGAGAAGCTGAATCAAGTGCAGGCTGCTGTGGAGCCATCACCTAGAGAAGAGCTGGAGCAGGCACGGATGTCACTTCCCCGCGGCCTTTGTTTGGCTTTCCTTCGGGCTTTTTGTCGGTGTTCGGAGTCTGCACCTTCTCCATGCAGAACTTTTTGTGCTCACCCTTCCAAAAAGAGTAGAGTTCAGTTTCAAGGCTCGGTTTCCACTTGCCAGAGCTTAGGCCCTCTGAGCTCGATGGAAGTGGCCATCATCTACATGCAAACACATTATAATATATCACAGTAGGTTGTGGTAGAATTGCAGTATAACGTATCGTTTATATGGCATACAATAATGAATCAGTAGGAGAATAAAGAGGGAAAGTTATAAATAAATAAGAAGCCCCACGGAAACCCTAGGATCCCTGGTTCCTAACATGCGCTAAAGATCGCTCCAAAGCTTAAGCTGTGGCTCTAAAGCCCCCTGAGACTTATCAACCTGCAAACCTCGAGCCTGGGGCCGAAAAAAACATAAGCGAAAAATCGTTGAAACGCTGAGACCCGAAACCGTAAAACCATGCGGAGAACAGACCTTCTGTGCAGCTGGTGCAGCGCCTCGGTGCTGCCAAGGCCGTCGAGGCGCTGAGGGTGTGGAGTTTGGGGCTTCGGGTTTGTGTAAGCCTGCCGCACACCCTGAACCCTAAAGCTTCAAAACTCCACATCACTGAAAGCTTTAAACCTCACAACCCTAAGCTTCAAAAATCTTTAGACCTTTACAGACCCGAACCCTGAACCCTGTAGAATGTAGCAATTTAAAGGTTTTGGTTAAGGGTTTTGGTCAGTGCAGGTGCTCCAGCGCCTGGGGCCAGAAAAGGCCCTGGAGGCGCTGAGAATTGAGCCTGTGCAGCAGTTAAAGTAAATCAGGTCCAGTCCTTCGTTGGTCGAACTAGGAGTTGCCGCCATCGCTGCAAAACGCTTACACTCACACCTCGAAAGTGATGACCATGAAACCAATCATGTTGCGTTATGTGTTGCGAATGTGTTATTGTACTATCTGAGAAGGCTCTTGACCAAAAGCACTTGTCAAGGCCATACAGACACGAACACGCAACAATTAGAGACCCCCGTGCAAACAGAAAACATCTTATATACTTATTATCGTACGAAATGTGTAGTTCAATCAAGCCAGTATAAGCATTTTGGTTTAACACGAGTTGTCTCACAGTAAAGTCTTGAACTGTAGGCAAAGCGTAAAGTTGCGTGCTTCATAAACGGACGAAAACGATCGGTGAACTGGCCTTCCCAAAGTCCGTCTTCAAGCAGAGGTTACGATCTATGTTTGCACAGGACATGGGTGAAGTTCATCAAAGATCGTTTGGTAATGTGCAAGTATCTTACTTGCACACGCAAACACATCGCGAAAAGACTTGTCAAACGAATAGATAGATTCCCCATTCGGCGCAAATGAGGTTTTCCTCAAATTCTTAAACGAGCCAAGAACTACCTATAAACAGAATGATAGGCTCGAGACACACATTGGAATTCCCAACCTGCTTTAGCGTCTCTTTCTCCACTGCGATGGTGCATCGGGGGGGGGGGGGGGGCATATACATACTTGCATGTGTATATATATATATATAATTATATATATGTATATATAT